ACCCTGAGCAGCACATTTACAGTTTCATATCTGAATAGCTCTCCCTTTTAAAAGACGCCGGATCATTTAGATTAGACATGCTTGCAAACATTTTTCTGATTGCATATTTTCCCTTCCCTGTGAAGCATGATTAAAGTTTCAGAAAAAATCTGTAATGGTTTGACTTCTAGACGTTATTAACAGTGAAAGCTATATTTATTAGTACCATGTCCCATTTCAAAGTGAGAGAGAGACGAACGCCTTAAGATATATATCAATCTTTTATAACAGTATCATAATCTCACATTAAATATTTATAATACAACTTTTAATATATTATATATATATATATATTTATCCACTGACAGAAGATTTCATCTTCATCTGACACAATGAACAGTAACTCTGCACTAAAAATCTCTTTATGAGGAGTAATAGAAAGGCAAATTATATAATACAAGAAAAATGTGTCCTTTAAATTTACTACGACTCTTTAGATACTGTAAGTCTATCGCTGACCTTTCAGCAACAACTATTTCGTTTAGTTTGCCATAAAATGTTATACTATATGTGGAAAAACACTGTATGTCCTCTTTTAAGTAGGGTGGAGGATCTGCAATGCTGTCGATCAGTTTCTCGTTCAAAGGAAACCCTTAACAGTTCATGGTACCATTGGTTGTTTTATATAACAGCAATAGGGCTGCAATGGACACTTATTTAGCAAATTGAATAATCTGCTGATATATATTTTTTTTTATAATAATTTCATTTTATTGATCTCAAATTGGAAAAAATTATCTCTGCATTTAACCCATCCCCTTGGGGAACAGTAGGCTGCCATCGTTGGGCGATTGGGGTTTAAGGGTCTTGCTCAGAGAGCCAGATTGGTAGTCTGTGGAAGTGAGTTTTGAACTCACAACCTCAGGATTCAGAGCTCTATGCACTAACCATTAGGCTGCCCCTCCCACCGAAGGCTGCCACTTCCCCCTTTATGATTAGATAGCCAAGGATTCGTTGAAGAAAACGTTTTATGAAATTAAACAAGGTGAAAATTTTCCATTGCATATTGATGAAATAAAATATTTTTTAAACTTAAATACAAAATGCTTACATATGTTCTACAATTTTGCTATAATTCCTCTTCTAAGTTGGTCGTTCTGTCAGCTAAAGGCATGTTTTAGAGTCTCTATACTCCGATTAAACATTTAACAATTACTAAATTAGTTGACGATTATTTCAATAATTGATTATTCACAATTAATCCGATTAATTGCTTCAGCCCTAAACAGGACCTTTAATTGTAGATAAATATCTTTATTAAAAGATAAGCTGCAGAAGTTGTGTCCGCATCACTCATTTCAAATACCTATATCGGTCAAGCGTAACTGTGCCTTTAAACCAAAATGAAATAACTTTTCAAACCTCATAAATTATTTTCATAACATCATCCATTTACTTACAACTAGTTGAATGACCCCTCTGTTTGGCCTGAGGCGGTCTTTATTGCTTTCACTGACACTAAGCGACTTTGAGGAGGGTTCCAGTAACCCTCCCACACAAAACAACTTCAGAGGGTTGATATTCAGTAGATTCATGACCCCATCGCTATTTATCCTTCAGAGCCACTGGTAACAGAAATGTTGTTCAACCCAACTGCTGGCAACCAGTGATCAGGATTTTACCAAGCTGGTTCTCATGGAAATGTTGTCTCCTTTCAGGCAAAACAATACAGGTTTTGTCCACTGGAGGAAGCAAAAATTGACCTAAACTGATAGGTCTTTAGAACCGTTTTAAAAGAACTGCAATTCAGGACAGGTACTGTAGAAATAATACAGATACCAGTTCAGCTATTGGTATAAAAAAATAACTAGCTGTGATGTGTGTTTGGATTACAGAGTTTATTCAACATAACTATTTAAAGAAGGTTGAAGATGAATCATGGCTGTGAATCCAGAAACTCTCAGCCCTCCAGTCTTCCTGGAGACTGTAGGAGTGTCTCCCTGTGGCTTTTTCATCCTGTCACTCTCTGACGAGTCTATCACCTGCAGCTTCTGTAAACATCCTCGCTCCTCATATGTCAAAAATATGACAGGCACCCACTCACTCTCAGCTTTACTCTGACTTTGCTGTCCTGCAGAAATAAAATCCAGATTATGATTTTTTACCTCCAGTAGTGTTCTAAGTTTTGGTCTAAGTCCAAGTGTTTGTTTGTGCTTTCTTAAATTTAGCATGTTTTAGGTGACATGAATCTTTGAAACAGACAAAGAAAGATTTTTCTTTTTTTGTTACTGTCACATTTTTACAAAAAGGGCAACACATAAGTTACCTTTTAGATTTATTCTGTGAAATCGGTTCAAAGAACCAGATGTAGACAAAAGTGTTAGAAACTTTCTGGATCCAAATACCTCATATTATAGCCCATACCTCCTGCTCCTAGCTCCTACCCTTTCACCTTTTACTGGCTCATCAGTAAGAACAATATCCAGGGTAGGAAAGCAGTTTCAGGCTGCTCTTCTGAATCTGAAAACCCTTAAGTCTTTCAGCTGTCATTATGCAACAAACAGGCCCAGAGATGATAAAGTTGTGGTTAAACTGGAAGTACAGACTTCTGGAAATTAACAAAAAAAAAAAAACTTAGTTACGCAAATTCAGTGAAGGGCTGAATCTCTCCCTTAAAAAACACAAAACATATTAAGGTACGTGTATTTGCAAGAGTCACACACAATATGACTGCCACCAAATAAAGACCAAATAGGCCTTAACAAAATCATAATTTTGGTAAGGCTTATATTTCCTTTCACACAAAAAAATCATGTGCAACCGTATTTCTCCTAGTACCGTAACTTGGACCATCAGGATGTCCCTATGGTAGCTCAACTGGCAAAATGAAGCATAAATCTTCCTCTTCCTTTTGCCAGCTATCTTGACTTTCACCTATCTTGGATCGAGCATTTACCTTGGAATGATTTGTACCTCTATGCTTATCAGAGCAATGTCACATGCTATAATTTCTTTAAAAAGTTGAAGGAATTATGTTAGAAACCCAAATGATAATGAGGTGTACAGCCTGGGACAGAGTCACATCTGGGACATGCGGGATGCCCACCCCTTAAGAAAGATGGTTTGAGTAATAATAATAAAAATAATACATTTTATTTTAAAGGTGCACTCAAGGTCACCGTACAAAAGATAAAAACACAATGGCAGAAACTGTCATGATGGGTCTAATGTGTTTGGCCCACATGCAGAAGCACACACAGAGATTGAGAAAGGTTTAACAGTTTATTAGTAAAAAAAAGTTACAAAGACACTGAAAACAGTTTTCCAGCTTGGGGAGGTTCCAGCGATCAGGTAAAGCAGAAGCGGAAGCTCTGGGAAGAGATCAAAGTGGTGAGTTCAAGGTCGGTGGGAAAACTTGCCGACGTCAGAATAAAAACTGTTGTGGAGAGTTCCTGTTTGTGGAGGCTTGCACAGATATGGAGATTACTTTGCTGGAGGGTGGACAGGCAGACTTTGGTGGTCCTGAGGAGCAGCGGAGCAGACTGTCACTTGTTTTCCTGACGTGGACGGTGTTATGATGGTGAATTGTTTCCTTTTCTCAGTGTGACGAGAGGGTTCCTTCCAAGGTTTGAAGGACCAGGCTTATCCAGTGGATCTTTTGAAATCCTGCCGGAGATTCACAAAAGAAACAAGATTAGGACTGGGGGTCTCAGAGAAGCAGCTCATAGTTAGACTCAGCAAACTCAGAGGGGCTAGAGTACCCAATACTGGCAAACACTCTGACAAGGAGATGGTGACAGTCTGCTGCTCATATACTCCTCAGACAGTGATGACCAACGAGCTGCAGGTGTCAGTAGTTGAAAGCTGGAAGAGGCCCTCCAGGCCAACAGAGGAAAAATGGCACCATCTGGTGGATGCATGGAGGCAATGAAAAAGAACATAGAACAACCCCAACAAACTGGAACCCTAACAGAAACAAAGACAAAACACAGATTAAAACCATTTAAAAAATACAAAGTCTTGGACAGGGAAATTAATATTAAAGAGAACAATAATAATGAGTGAGGGGTTAAGGAAGTCGCCTTTGTAAATCTGGAACTCTCTCAACAGAGGAGGTGGTCTTGGGTCGGGCACGCTGTAAGATGTTTTCAATCGTTTTAGTCAGCTACAGCTCAAACAGTATGATAAAATCTCAGGGTTTAAAAGTTCAAAGCTCATGATGCATGTTCTTAAACTATAGGGCCCGATGCTCTGATGTGATCTACCTGCTCACAATGATTCAACTTACCAGAACCTTGCGTGCTGTGCAAGTGCAAACAAGGGAATCCTTCTTTTTCTTCCAGATTGATGAATCCGACCAGCGCCATCTCTCTGTGCTGAAACCGACGTGTGGTTTTTGAACGTACAGTGTGAGCAGGTAGATGGTATCAGAGCGTCATGCTGTACAGTGTAATAACATGCATCATGAGCTGGGAACTTTTAAACCCTAAGATTTCATCATACAGCATGAGTTGAAGTACAATGATGGAAAATATCATATAGTGTATGCCCAGCCTTTCAGGGAGCGTAAATCAGTCCAGTGAGGCTCAATACTCTTTGGTCTAAAACAGGCTCCACCAATCACTGTGCGGGAGGCGGGTCCATGATGTCACATAATTTTTCTGTAACCATAAAAGGCAAAGGAGCAGCGTTTTTCTGATGCCCTGTATTATTTACTATTAGAGCTGTTTATATTGGGAAAAATTCAACATCTGACTTTTGTTTTACTTTAATTTTTTTTTAAAATGTGTCTCATACATAGTTATCTGATTAGTCCTAAAATGTTTCCCCTGACTAATTTCTGACTCATCCCGCTCCTTTCCAGACTAATAGATGTGTCCAAGGCATAAATTGCTCTGGTTGGCCAGCCTATAGATCTAGCCTGGATGTTGATGCTTGTCCAGCTTTCCTCTTTAATCCTTGATTCCCTTGTTCTGTGTTTGTCCTTTTTATTGATATGTTATTCCCCTGTGTGTCTCCAGTTTTCTGTGGAACCCCTCCCAGTGTGGATAATGCCTTCCTAATTGGTCGGAAGCGTTCCCACTATGACGTCCACTCCATAGTTCGTTACCAGTGCGCCGACGGCTTCCTGCAGCGCCACGTGCCCACTGCCAAGTGTCGTGCCAATGGCAAGTGGGACCGACCCAAAATCATCTGCATAAGATGTAAGTTTTTCCCAGATATTACTTAAAGCTGTAGGCTACTTTAATTTGTTTTATTTTTAGCACATATTCTCCTTCAGGTCCTGTGCAGCAGACCTACATTAACAGCCCTGAGGCTCTGATGTCACTGTGAGCATTTAGGCTCTCCAGCCCCGCTCTCATTATTAATAATTGTAAGCAAAAGATTATCGTGGCTGCAGCCTGAATGAATTCCCCTGGGCTTGCTTAGAAGTGATTGGGTATCCTTTGAAGTGGTTCATTCTTCAAGTTGTTTTTTTTTCTTATTTTTCTTTCCTTTAGATATAAATTTAAGGACAGGTTCACACTCAGTGCAATAGAAGTGGGCTAAAGAGGGGAAAATGTTCAGCCTCTCTTACTTTGTATCTGACATGCTCAGGAACACAAACCCCTGAATAAAATAGTCAGGTACCAACTCTGAAAGTTTTTTTTATTCACAGAGCTGCAATGCTTTAGAAGATTACTCATTGACCTTAAGCCTTTTCACAATTAGCTTTATTCTAATCACAATCTTCTTCGTATTTCAATGGAATTCATGCAAAAGTCCACAGCAAAGAAACATAATTATTAAAATATGGGTAATAATGTTGCTTTTTTTGTTTGTTTCACTGTTTGATGAATCATAATCTTCCAGGTTTTCATGGATTTATATCCATCCCACTTTAATTGGATACTTTGCAGAACCTTGTCTTTGAACATTTGCTAGACTTCTGGGTGTCTCTTCCAGTTTTACATGAACTGTGGCTGTGATGTTGAACTTGTCTTTGTAAAATAACTTGAACTCAGTCGGTTTGGATGTAGATTATCAGTTACCATCAAGTTTTAAGTCTAATGATATATTATCTGAACTATTTAGGTCTAGACTTTGACTAGGCCACACTGCTTGAAGTTGAAAAAACTACAGCTCCCACTCTGACTACTAAGAACTAAACTGTGCTTTTCACCAAAACCTCATCCCTGATCTATCTGCTTTGCTGTTTTGACTTAAAGTTTTTATATTTTTTGCTAGCTCTATCAAAGAAAAAAAAAATGAGGCCTTCAGGGACTATCTGGATTTTTTTCAGTTGTTCAGGTGGGCTGAAGTCTTCCGGTCGGGGGTTGGATTTTATTTGGTTGTATCATGGAGAATGCACTATTTACAAAGGCATGCACACGTTTCAGATTTGTTGGATACAAAAAAAAAAAAAAAAAAATTTGTGGGTATATAACACATAATCCACGTAACACAAAACAAAGTTTGTGGTTTTAACACACAAAAAAACCCCGTTACTTTTAGTAGTAATATATAAACAATATCTTCTTTCATCACCTTTTTACCTTGTTTAGTTTTTACCGGATTCATTTTATTTTAATCAGATTTGACATTCATGCTTTCAGAGGACATATAAAGAGGAGATTTATTTTAATATTCTACAAGCTTGGGCTTGCGTTCCTCTTCGCTCTGCACAGAGAGTGACAGTAATGATGAAATACTGAAATTATGTAGCTTCTGTTCAAACTGATAAAGATAACGTTGCTTCTTCAGACTCCTAATCTGTCGCTCTTTTGTCGTGCTCAGGGTTATGAATTTGTGATCGTTCATTGCAGGCAACATGTTGGGCCGATATGACTTGGCAGTTTATCCCGGGATGAGGTCTCACATAGGATGTGTGTGGGTGGCTAGCTTGGTGCGCCCCCTGCTAAAGGTGTCTGCTCCACACAGTGTTAGATTAAACATAACTCTCTCTTCAGAGTTTTAGGAACTCTACACACAGAATGGGACGTCCTGACCTTGCTGTTCTTTGATCCCCTCTCATTTGTGTTTTACCTGCTTCCACCTGCCCCCTGCAATCCCTCTGAAAGCCTGTGAAGCTCCCCCAGAGATCCCTGCCTTTCTTACATCAGCTTCTTGACTTTTATCTTTCTTTTTTTTTTTTTTATGAAGTCTACCTTAATCAATCTCACTCTGGGATTTTTTTCTCTCCTTTCCCCAGCTCGGCGAGCCCACCGTTACCGGCGCCATCACCACAAGGCGAGGAGGGAGCGCAGGAAGCATAAGAGGCACGGCCATAGAGAAGGGGGGCACCACGGAGGCCAGCTCAGACAGGGCCACAGCCACGCCCACTTCTGAACCAAAAAGATTGCCGCCCACTTTCCTTTTCTTCTCTGCTGCATACTGCAGCTTGCCTGTCTCCCTGCTCTCCTCATTTCCCTCAATACCACTTCACAACTCTCAACCTATGTACCCCCCCTCTCTGTTCTGCCCTCAGCCCCCCATCTCCTGGCGCCTAGGCAACCTGCTTATTAGTCCCCTCTGAGGCTGCCAAAGGGCTGCCAGGTGTTGCCAGGACTAACAAACCCATTGATATCCCTTTTCTTTCTTTCAATTTTGGGCTGCAGCTCTCCTGTCTTTCCTCTACCCTCTCAAATGACACTCTTACTCTCCCTTGGAGCTCAGCCCTTGGCCTGTGTTGACCTGTTTTTGAAGAACAAACGATATTTGATTTGATCCCAGACTTTCTTTGGTGAGAGGTGGTTCAGTATGAACTGTAAATAGGGATGACATAACTGAAAATGCCATATCAAAGTCAATGGAGACATAGTGGTTTTTACTTGAGCCTTGTGTCTATTTTTTACAAATGCTCTGTTTATCTCCTGAATCTGCTGCTCTTTGTTTTTGCCCTTTGGAAGACACTGATACAGACTTGTGGCACCGCCGCTGCTGCGTCACTCTGACACGGATTTAACTTTTTGAATTAGAAGCAGTTGTGATTCAATTATTTGATGGTTAGCGTCGTATTTTCTTGTTGGTGTGAGACAGTTGCTTTAGATCAGATGATGAACCCCCAGAGGAAAAATTGATAATTCCTCCAATCTCCTGTTCAGGACCATCACATATCAGTAGCTACTTAGAAGACATGAACCACCTGAAACAGCTGAAGCTGTGTCAAACACCCCCACATGTCACTGCCAGGGTTAATCTGGAAACTGGATGTTGATTGTCTCAACTCAGCTTAGACGTCCAGCATTTTTTTCTGTTGTCATAATTCCTCTTGTTTTGGGTCTCTACATTAATAAAGATGATCGATTCCTCTGACTTTGCAGTGCAGCTGCTTTTGACAGAGTTTTCCACTGTGAGCTATTTAGTATAAGAATGTTGTCACCTCTTCAGTCAGATTATTGGACTTTGAGATTTAAAAGCATCAAAGTACACAGAAAGTTCTCTCCAGAAGCACTGAGGTAAGTAGGGGTTCACATACATCATTCATTATGGCAGGAGTTTTATTCTTATGTCTTAATAAGTTTGAAAAATACTGTAGTTTCTAACTACTGCATGTTTTTTTCAGTCCCAAAAGACAAGGCGTTGGTCAGAAGTAACTTTTTCACTACATTTTGTTGTTAAGGTGGAAATTTTGGTTGTTATCATTTTCCCCAGAAGCAAATGCTGTAAAGCCCTGTTTGGTGGAGTGGAGGTGAGGTAGGCGCAAAGAATACAGCTCCAACTGTCGAGCATGGTGGCGGAGCATCATGCTTAAGGGCTCCAACAGCACCGATGCTTTGAACAAAATGAGAACTAACTCCAAAATAATTTACTTTGCCTGAAGTAAAAGGTTGGATGGTTTAAACTTATCGGGACGATGAAACCAAACACTCTGTTTTTTACAGGATAAGCAAGATCACAATCAGCTTCTTGAATGGCCCCACCTCAAGCCTGTAGAGAAATCCAACAAATTTGAATTAGCTGGATGATTTCTGAGGATTGTTTAACTGTACTGCGGCAGCTATGCCGCGGAAATCCACACATTGGATACTGCATGTATTATTTTGATACAGAATCAGGATCAGTTTGGAGAGGATGGGCTGGAGTGCTCTACCAATTCTGTGATTGTATTTATCTATTTGTAAGGGGCCAAAGCATTTAAAGAGCATATTAATGATTTATATAGATACTGATTCCCACCATTTGTCCTCTATCTAGTCAAAGCTTCAGTTCAGCACATGATTGTAACATGACTGTAAACAAAAGCTAAACTAGTCTCATTAGATTAGAGGGAAAGACTAAGGGACACAGTAAAATCAAGTAAAAAAAAAAAAAAAACATACTCCATATCCTCATTATGGTTATCAAATAAGTCCAATAGACACGATAAAAAATTAGAGAAAGAATTATATGATCTGTTTCAACACCTGCCAGCATTTCTGGCATTAGAAGACTTAACAATACTTTTAATGCTGGTTTGTCCTTATAAGTTTCCCCTTAACCTGTTCGATTTTAACTGACATTATAAAAAGCTCAGAGTAATGCTGGCTAATATTAAACTACTAATCACAGCTGTCCTGGTATGATATCAACATACTGTTTTTAATTCTTATCACCCTTAGAACCCCAGTATAATATAGATGAAGACACATGAAGAGCAATGAAATTATATCTGCCTGTTGTTGCGGAATGTTAACAATTAACAGTTTTATTGTATTTTAAAACGTTTTTAAAAATCATCAGTTTTGACATTTTAAACTTTAATTTCTGGTTTATATTACCAACAAGCTAAAGTAGCTTAACTAGCATTATAAAAGTAACTAATGTTGAAACAAACCACATCTCAGTGGGCTGCTACATGATAGACAGGAGTGGAACATAATAAAGCCTTTTCAGCTTTGAGTGATTTTGCAAAATGTCCCACCTTTTTTGTTTTTGGTTTCTTGCAGCCTGAACTTTGTGCAGAATTGCTCACACAAAAAAAAAAAAAATAATTTAGAAAAATGTGCATCGAGAGTAACAGTACACATACTACTATAACAGTAGTATGTGTAGTATGTAGTATCTGTAGTATCTGTAACTGCAGTGTGTGTGTAAGCCAGGCGACAACAATTGAAAAAAAAAAAAAAACAGCTTTGTGCAGACAACTCATGCAAGTCTTTGCTTTTGGAAATTACTTTTGGAAATGACCCATCCCCTAATAAAAAAAAACTAAAACATTTGGAGATTTAAGTTTCCAATAAGTCACTGGTTTGTTCAGCTTCAATGAGTAGATTATTTCTGGATGCATCTCTGCGTTCTTCATGTCATAAACAAAGTCAGCCATTTTGAGGATCACACCTTTGCCTTTGTTTATCTGCTCTCACCTTGGCTGTAACAACAACAGTGAACTTACACCTTTTGTATCAGTTTAATTAATCTATTGCATGCCTAATTACCAAGCGGCATTATCAGGCTGACCACAGAGCAACTGTGACAGGGGAAGGATAATGCTGATGGACAGTCAGAGGAGGATGCAGGGTGGCTGTCACAGGCGTCAAACCCTGTCGCTCTGCAGATGTCAGGCTGCTTTTTTTTTCGCCCCCTGTCGTTCCTGTAAAATAGATTGACCACGGGTGGGTGAATAAAAGGGCAGATAGAAAGCCCTCTCACTACAGAGCTGATGCTGAGAGACAGTGTAATTACAGCTGGGGAAAGGCTCAGCCCTGTGACAAGAGTAAAAAAATTGTGCACTGCAAAAATGATCTGGAAATAAGTCAGCATTTCTCGAAATAATTACCCTTAAATAGATTAGGTAAATAAGATGGTTTGTCAATAGAATGCGATTTTTTGCCTTCTATTAAAATAAGATGATTAGATAATATGCACTTGAAATAAGACAATGCAGGTGTTTTTTCTTATTTTAAATGTAAATTATTTTGTTTCTTTGAAAGTGTCTCACTTACGTCCTCAATTCAAGAGGAAACACACTTATTTAAAAAAAAAAAAAGACTTATTTAGATTTCAATTTTTTGCAGTGTGCAGGTTCCAAGGATATTCCATGAGACAAACAGATGGCATTAAATGAACTAAAATTAGGAAAGATTTGTTTGTAATGATGATGGCCTGTTTTTGTGGGTTGAAAATGTTTTTCTATTTGTTTTTATTTGTTTTATCCTCGCAGTGATTTGCTCATTGAAAGCCAGGCAGCCATCAACCTTTCTCACAGGAAGACAAAGAAAAAGCTCAGCTGAAGCATTTTAAACACACACATCACCCCCTCGTCTGACTTCAAACAGTGTTTTCTTCCTTTCTTTTTGAAATCCTGGTTTTAATCCTCCTTGCTCCCACTTTCCTACGGGCTCTATGGCTAGAGGCTTGAGGGCAGACAAACACACAGCAGCAAAGCTTCATCATTTCAAAGTGCAATGGTAAAAATTAGTTAAGATGTTTCCACCAGCTGTCTTACAGCAGTGGCGAGACCGAGGCCTCGGGCCAGCCACTGGGCTTGTTCCTGCTCATTGCAATGGTCATCCACTCATTAATTGCTCCCTTAGGTCATTCTGAGTTTAAGAGAAGTATAAAAAGTCCAGGATAAACACAAAGCATCTTTGTGACTAAAACTGGTAGCATTTGAGCAACAGCTTGACTTACATGGTTTATCTCTTTAAGATGTGGCTAAATGCGTAGTGATTTAAGTCCAAGGTCCTTTTACAATCAATCAAGCAATAATGCAGCAGGGAAATTAAGAGATGGGATATAACTCCACCGTATCTGTTTGTCGAGAAGCAGCTTGAAGTAGGCTCATCCAATAAAAACAGACGGCACTCATCAGTAATGACGGCACAATCATAGCCATGCAGAGGCTGCTGTCCTTCTCCAGTTGTGCACAGACAGACTATTGATTTCATGATTAGGCAGTCTGTCTTGCGCTCTTATTAAGTCTGTCAATGACATTGACGGTGAGATCGCATTGACTGACTGCTGAGTGTTTTCTAAATGACAGGAAAACAGACTGTCTTACTTCACAGCTCTCCTCTGTGCCCCATTTAAATGCATTGTTTTTCTTGTTTTTCTTTTTCATTCCTAACTTTCTCTCGCTCATGTTTCTTTCTCTGGATATACACAGAGACTTTCCCCCAGTGGTATCCATACAACGTTAACCCACTGAAGCTGAGTTGAGACAATTTATCATTGTCAGGAAAGCGGTTCCATTCTGCTGAGATGGATGGATGAATGGAAACGTGTTCCTGCCACTGTCTGAGACTGACTGAGACAAACGCATTGCTGGAACCATTGACAGATGTTTCCCTCTTTCTTCTCCGTATACATATATATATATATATATATATATATATATATATATATATATATATATATATATATATATATATATATATATATATATATATATATATATATATATATATATATATATATATATATATATATATATATATCCTTCCGTTTATACTCTGGGTGGGTTCATTTGTTGCTTAGCCTCTCTGGGCCGTATTCACACAGCTGGTGTAAGCCCCCCCAATAACCCTCCCCTCCTGCACACAGTCACACACGCTGATGCTGCGGTAGTGACCCGCTGCAGTAGATGAATTGAGCCGCTTCGGTCGACATTCACTCTGCAGGGAAGCCTAAAGCAAAGCTGTGCATTTACCAGACAAACAAACTCCACTGTCGCCTCTGTTCCCCGTCAGCACTTCAGTCTGAAGGTGTCTATTCTGAACAGCTGAGGTTGCAAATCGTTGTGTGAATGTGGCTTAGCAGTATTTATTCATATTTATCAGTGTTTGTTCTTATTAATTCTAGTACTGTTATTGTATTTTATTCTTTACAAGACAAATGATCATTAAAGGAAACCCTTGTTTGGATCCATTACCTTTTGGCTTGGACTGGTTATTTGTGTTTACTGAGGTTTATTTAAATCCTTCAAATATAATATTTGAATGTGTTTAAACCACCTTTGAATAATACAAGCACAAAAATAGATAATTTAAAAAAAACTAAATACAACTGTTTTTTTAAACTGGTAAAAAAAAATTAATAGAGTATTGTTCCCTTATTGTTGCCCTAAACAATCCCTTTAAAATCTATTTAATTCATTTTCTATTTTAATTTTTCAACCAAGGAAGGATAATGTTTTTTTCTTGTTTTATTCCTTATAAATTTGTATGGTCATTGAGTCCTTGTTTTAAAAAGCTTAATGTCTGAATCCAACCAGATCACTGAATACAAAAACTCTAAACGAATAATGACTGAATTATCCCCTTATTTGATTTATATACTATACTTGTATATTTCACATTCCAATATTACTGGACGATAAGACAAATCTATATTCTTAATTTAGGGAATTGACAACAAAAATTCACAATTTTCCTTGTTCCCCCTAATCTGCATTTTTTTAATTTAACACAGTTTTTTTTTTTTTTTTTTTTTTTTTTTGCTTTTAGCCCAGCATCAATGTTTGCAGGTTTTGTTTGTTGTCCACCAACCGTGCAAAGGCTTTGAACATTGGAATCCATGTTAAGCTCTACAAATGAGCAAACTTTGAATTTTTTTTTTTTTTTTTTATACATTTTCAGATAAATGATTCAGGCATAAGGTCACAGTCAGCTGCATCTAAATGAGCAAAAAAAGTCTTTTTCATGGAAACTAAACTGCACTTTTTTCACCAAGCCCCCTAAGTAAAATACTGTTTTGGGGCCCCTCTATTTCCGCCAATCGTATTGATTGCTGCAGTTTACAGTTTAACAATCACATCATTCATACACCTACTATAAACTGATCGCAGTTCTGGTAATATTGTTTACAGTCTTTAATTTGTTTGAATTATCTAATGTGACTAAAAGTAATAAAATTAATTATTATTATGTTTATTTACAGTATAAGTGGGTTATACTTTTGGTGCAAAAAGAGCATGTAGTGCATGTACAACAAACTAATAAAATATTGATTAACAGCTCAGACACAATCAAATTAAACAATGGAACATCAAGCATGCTCTAAAATCATGAAAATAAATTTACCTTAAAACATATTTAAAAAAACAAGATTTCAATTTTAGCTATTAAAATTATGGATTGTAAGTAGCTACATGCAAAAGCTTTATTTGAAAACATAAACTACCTTTGCCCAAACTTTGCTTCATGTTACACCGTTCTTCCTCAGTACTTCACTCATTCCTTAAACCCGCCAGGTTTACCATTTGTCATGACATCACTGTAAAAGATCAGATTTGCTGATAACACTAATCACTGCCAGCCCATCCCATCATCCTTCTACCATTGAAGATCTCAGGTTGTTCTTTGATTTTAATTTTAGCTCTGCAGATTAAACAGCCATAGAGAGCAAGCCAGTCTCAGAGCTACACGAAGATTTGGAACTCTTTTGAGAGAAGAATGTGACTTAATGAAGTTTTTATAGGTGTGGGTGTGTGCAGTTGTCTGCCCTAACCCTTTCATCACCATAAAGGGCAGAGACTATATAGTGGACTTCATGACACATGTCATGATGTCATGTCACAACATCCTCCCAAACCCCTCACTATATAGAACGAGGACTATATAGTGAACTCAGCTGACTGATCAGACAGATCACCACTACTTTTTTTTTATTTAAAAAAAAAACAAAATAATGATACAACACTTTTTATGTTTTTATTAGTTTTCAATGCTGCACTTTAAAAAGGGAATTGTCTAGAATGACAAAATAAATCTGTCTAAGTCTTTTCTTTGCCATTGGTCACATGAGTCCACCTCCCCATACAGTGCATGCGCCATCTTTTTCTTTCTAGCCCCCAAAACAAATCCCAAGACGCTTTGCAAAGACAACTCTCACAAAGTAATCTGGGACATATCTGCTCGTCTGGTGACCATTGATGATAACTACTTTTTTTAAGGTGCATTGTGGGAAATTTCAAGTACATAATTTTTTTATCTAGTAGACGTTCAGACACTCATCTCAAATGGCGCAACCACTATATAGTGTCTTATACAGAGATTTATAGTGGATGAATAAAGGGATTAGGGCAGACATTCAGACACAGCCTTGGTCTCCATCCACCCTTTAGGTGGAACCAGAGATTCATTGGGCTGGCGCTGATAGGTGTGCTGTATCCCTGCTCATTAACAATACAGAGTTTTAAGTACTAT